TTTGACTCACTAAGCTAATTGGCTGTACCCGTTTAGACTCACGTAGTGAGCTCACATTATTCATGATAGGATCCCTACCATTTTCACAATTCCTCTTTGCAGAGGGGGGGCCGGAGCAGGGCTTGTCTGAGCTGGTACCGAAACAGATGCCATGTCCACCGGTTCGTGATATAACGCCGTTAAGGGGTGACCAGTTAAGGGAGCTGAGACTCTGAAGTGAGAGACTGTTCAACTGAAAGCCAAGAGAAGAAGGCTGAACACTGATCAACACACACGTTATACCGGAAACACACTTTGCCATGCGTACACGTCAAAACATTTCCGGGTCTTAGGAACAGAATGAATGGGAGTGAATGGATCCGCTTCTCGACCGCGTAAGCAAATTGAAATAAAGTCTTCCGGAGCAAGTGGTGCGACACGTCAGCACAGTATTACCCCAGCTGATGCTGCATTCAAGGGGTGTCAGTAAAGTTTTTAGTTCTACCAGAGATCCACACTCTGGAAGCGTATAGCATTCAAAAAAGAAATTTTATTGTCATTATTATAACGTATTATCTTATAATTACAAGATTTAGATCTCATAATTACGAGGTTTTCAAAAGAAAGAGAATCTGAAAGTCATCAGTGTTTTTAAATTTCTTAAGTAATGATAATATTCAGTACTTCTAATGGTAGGCTATAGAAAAATGAAACTGTTAAAAGCAAGCTCATTCTGGACACGTTAAGCCACAGTGAGACTCATTAAATCCATTGCAACGCTTCCTGTTTCTTGTAAAAGTTTGCAAAGGTGACGACTTCAAAAGTTTCAAAAATCATAATTATATAATATAATTAATATTTTCTTTAGTGAATTCAGTGCACTTCCCTATCACCGCAATGTAACAGTTTGAAAGCACATCAGTCTATGTTAAAACGTACCTTTATTAATTGCTTTTGTTTAATATACACTATAAGTCATTGTTGTATGCATTTACATTTTATTCTAGCATTTTATTCTCCTACATATGTCGTCTTTATTATAGTTTTACATATAATATTTTATTTAATCTTATTGTGCATGTTCACTAACTGCCATAGCTTATAGGGACACAATATGGAACAAAGCCATCATCAGTGTCTCAGTATAAGTAACACCTGTGCTTTTCCTGCTTCAACAAGTCAAAATGTCTTTTGTGAAAAGTGTCTGTTAACCAACTGAGAGTCTATTAACTAGTTGATTGGTGTATATGGAAAAGGTGAAAATGAATTAATTCAGCATATCTTGAAAGGGGGCTGTCACTTCACAGCTGATTCAACATAGTATCAACGTCAAAAGTGTGGTAGGTAATCTACCATCAGATGAAAAAATAGCATGTTGTTCAGTTGTACATGGCAGCTCCCAGATGAGATTGTGAGAAACTGTGTGAGTCAGAAGGAAGGAGAGCACTCAGGGGACCTATGTTTGTAGGCCAGATACCTCATGATGGTTTTCATAACTTTTAACACTCAAACATTAATTCCCAAAAGACATAACTTGTATAAACTCTGTGTGTGTGTGTGTGTCTGTGTGTGAGTGAGGGAGAGAGAGCAAACAGATGTAGTCTACTCATTGTCAAAGAAAAAAATGTTTGGAAAATTAGCAATTACTCCAGATGTTCCCGAACCAGTCCATGTGATATATACCTATGCATGACACAATGCACAGAAGCAGGTCAGGGGTCAAAAGCATATGGAATATAACTAGGAATTAGGGGCGACAAATTAATGGAAAAACAATTATAAAGTGTCTTGGGCTTTCTATAAGCGTTTGTGACTATGCCTAATATGTTTGCATGTCCACTCTGGTAAGTCAGAAGTGGAGTGGGGAGATTATTAGATAGTCAGCATCATTAAACATAAACATTATTCAATTAATATATTGTGTTTATATTAGCACCTACTTCTACCATATCAAGCTTGAGCAAATCATGTAAGTTGTTTATACCAGAGCATTTTCTATTCCCAGAACAGCTGCTGAGGTACTTGTTTCTTTTTTTACTCATGTCACTTATTTTAGCATTTTCGGGAGAAAAAAGACACCGGATCATCTTTGAATACATATTCAGATGAGTACCAGATTGAAGAAATTAATTACACAAGGTTTTTAAAGGGTGTGAATTAAAAGCTTATATTGAAAGTGATCGGGCACTGGAAAGCACTGCACACTACAGGGCAAAACAGCATAGACTTTATAAAAATCTTATTAAATTGGCAGAAATAAAGAGTAATCAGCTTAATGGCTAATCACACTAATGGTTGAATGAAAGTTGTATGAAAATAAAAATATAAATGTAAGGAAAATTGTCATAGTCATGATGCAAAATAGACATGAAAGATAACCATGCATGAGCATGACATTGGAACATACCCATCCTGATACTGACCACATTGTATTAAACTTGTTCTTTCATGCTGTTGGATTTCCTCCAATAGTGAACAGAAGATTCATTTACAGTTGTTGTAAAATCCTTCCTGTATATTTGATGATTACTGCACACAATCTTGCAAACCCTTAGAACTGGTATGCATGTCAATCATGTAAATTAGGAAAGACACATTTGATGATTCGTTTACTAAATGGCACGCTATAAGCATAGTTGTTCTGCCTGTCGAATGTGCACAGCAAACACTAACCTCAGATGAGGGTTCATTTAAAACCGAACAAAAGTATTAAAAGCAAAATAAAGGATAAGCTCCGCCAGTGGGCATAATATTCCACCTATGTTTTGAGAACATGAACATTATAAGACAGCGCTTACAAACACGTAGCCTATTAAAAGGATTTTATCGTTCATAAATCGGTGTAATACGTTCAAGAAGATGGTGGAATATTTGCTAATGTGGAATATTAAACACTGTAATCCCATATGCCTTAACCTACGCTGTATAAAATGTGTGATTAACACGCAAGTTATCCAGTCTTTAAACCTTTAAAACATAACAACAGTGGAAAATTCTAGTAGTCTAACCTTAAGGTCAAATCCTTTTATTGTTTCAAAAACCAGCATTAATGAATAAAACTGAAATGCATGTTACCACGGGCGTTATTTATATGCATCGTGCTGCTGAATCCGCACATATGGCAACGGTCATGAAAATGGATACATAACTCTATTAATAAAATACTAGAAAGCGTCTGTTTTCACAGAATGGAAGAAGAAAACATTCAGTTGAAAAAAAGTAAAAACGATCGACATTACATGAATCAGTTTGCTGTCTCATAACAGGAGGCAGCTGCTTGACAACCGACTATGGAGGGATCTTCATTGCGCACACGGCACCTCGGTGCGCTTTGGATAGGTTTGGTAACCTTTTTACGCAGCTTAATACTTCACATTTCTCAACGCTTCAGAACACATTAAAGCACCGATATACATCATTTATGCACAAGGCAAACACCTAGGACATGCAACTTTAATGTATATCTCTGTGACACAGTTTAAGAACTTAAACTTCCGCCCCCTTCATTGGCGAGACTAGATTAAATTTTACGCATCGCGAATATGTGGTGTTGTTTTAACAACACGAGCTAAATAATTTATAAATCTCATTTGGCACACGTTGTGCATGCTATAAAGCACAATAAATCAATGACCACATCAACTCCCCGGTAATAAATAAAAAGCTTCTCCTTATTTGTCCTTTGTCTCGTTGGCAAGGAGATGATGGTGTCCAAAAATGGCTGTCATCTATCTAACCTGGCTGATTGTGCACAGACGGTATTATCGTCTTCTAACTCGTGGTTAATGTATAATTTGGGCCATATGGCATTTTAAAAATTGAGCCTTTATTTCGGTGGCACTTCGATCTGTGTGGACCTAACTAATGATATTCAATTAGTCATTAAACAGACCAAAAGACGAGCCTTGTGTGGGTTTTCACATAGGCTAATATTTGCTCGTCAAATATTTCCCTTTGAAATGTTTACAACGCATTTTTATCTGCTGCCTGCCCAAGGAACATCTGTGAGGGTTATTTTAGTCTCCCTCTTGTGGATAAACGAGGTCCCCCAATTGGCCATTTACTTGCGCCCATACACGAGTCTATTTGTTCACGTTTTGAAAGAAATGTAATAAAGAGAGTCTGCGTGATGGATTTATGATTTATCAAAAGCACTTTACCATATGGCAGTCGTCACTGGAGCAGGTTTCCAAATGTTTGTTTTATGGAAGGAGACCAGAGATCCTTTTAATCTGAGCCACTTAGCTTGGGAAAGGATGCTGGCGCTGAAAAAATGTGTTGTGGAAAAAATCTAGTAAAATGTATTTGGGTGTAGTGAATGAACTCTTATTGTACAACAAAGATACATCTGATTGCATATAGCCTATATGTACTGTGCCACAAGAACAAGACGGCGCAAAGAGGATAATATAATTTCTTAGTGATATTTTATTTGGCTGAATTTAGCGACCAAATGCAAATCAGAAAGTCTATTTTTGACTTATATGCCTATCTTGTTATTTCTATTTTATTATATAAGAGAATTTAATGAGATCAAGCTCATTCGGACTTACAAAACAATCTGTGTCACTTGATGGAGGACACTTTGAAATCCTATTTTGAATTATATATTTCCATAACTCAATTGCTCCCTCTATACATTAAAATTCAAATAAAATACCTGACAATTGTTTTTGAAAATTCCTGATACAAATACAGCAACAAGTCGAATGAAAACCAAGACATATACATTTGGGCAGAATAGGTCTGCAAGTCTGTCAAGTCTATAATGCGCATGCAATGTTGACATTTCTGGTGACAGCCCCCCACGTCATGTTAAAGTGCAGGCCTATTTATTTCTGATGAACGGCGCGATTCCTTATTTTGTCATTGTCCACATGTACGTGGAGTTGCCCGGATCATTTTCCTTCGTGTCTTGCCCTTTGTCTTTTCACTTCAGAGTTTAAGATAGTTTTCCCTGGAACGTTATCACATCACGAATTTTGTTTCTGTAATCAGTTTCACCATAGAGGCTGGGAGCAACGGAGATGTGCGGCACGAACATTGATCTGCAAAATAAAGGTAAATTTGACATATTTAATTATGCATTTTAAAGCTATTTGACTTTAAGGCTACCTAATTAAATCATCTGTTGAAATTATATTGTGCAAGCAATAAACATAGGTTAGATATGGACGACACTAAATGACATTACAGAAGGCTATAATGGAGCCGTTTAAAACATTTTAAACAGTATAGACTGTGTTCCTGTATTAAGGTGGTGGAAGTGTCAACCAGTTAGGAGGGGTATTTCTCAACGGCAGACCTCTCCCAGCATCCAAGAGGAGGCAAATGATTGAACTGGCCTTAGAGGGAGTCCGTCCAAGCCAAATATCCAGGATACTTCGGGTAAAATGGCACAAGCAACAACATTTAGCCTTTAAACCAAGGGATCTGGATTTTGATGAAGAAGTCGTCGAACATGCCTTGCTGTTATAATTAATTAATATAATTATACTGTTGGATAAGGTTTTGTCAAATAAAAACACAATTTTCAATTGTCAGAAGCTAACAAAATGCGATCCGATGCGTCTTTCAGGTGTCCAACGGGTGCGTCAGTAAGATCCTGAGCCGTTACCGCTGCACTGGACTCCTGGAGCCCAAAACTATTGGAGGGAGTCGACCGCGACTTCTCACCCCTAGTGTCATCTCCACAATAATCCAATACAAAAGGGAAAACCCAACAATTTTTGCTTGGGAAATTCGAAAACAACTGGCAGCAATGCGGTTATGCAACTCCAAAGTTCCCAGTGTAAGTTAGACTGACATTCAAAGTTTGTTTTTATGCTATTAAAAATGTGTCAGCGTTTGATTTTGCATTTAATTCTGCATAACTCGCTCTGCAAGGTGTCCTCCATAAATCGGATTTTAAGACAGATCCACGGAACCACGTGCATGGAGATCAATGCGCACATGAGACCTGACCAGCGTAAGTCCCCTGTTAAGGTCACTGGAATACTGAGAATATGTGATATGATGGAGAAGCTGTAAGCTAGAACTGATGATCATTAAAAGGATCACAGTGTCTGCTTGAATAAAATGCATCAGTTCAATAAGAGCCCAATTTGAATGTCCACATAAATATACTTGGGTGACATAACAAACAGAGAGATTAAGTTTTAACAGCATGCACTACCAGTAAAACGTCTGGACACACTTTCCCATTAAACTCAATGGCAAAGTGTCCAGACCTTTGACTGGTTGTGTACTTGGACATAACATTTGTTTGCAAGCTGATGTAATGTCTGTATGTCCTGTGTAGACCGTGATTCAGTAATTGAAGTGAACGACAGACAGATGTTTGAGACAGTGTGCACTAATGGCCAGAAACCCAAAAGTTTCCAGTATCGAAACCGCACCATTTTCACCCCAGAGCAAAGCAGAGCACTTGAGCAAGGTGACTTATCATCTTCCAGTCTATGCATATCTCAAACAATGCTGCAGTTTCCACTCAGAAAAGCAGATAAATGTGTTTGTCTCCCCAATCAGAATTTTCTCACAGTCAGTATGCAGACATGTACACAAGAGAGAAACTGTCTGCTGAAATTAAACTTCCAGAGGACACCATCAAGGTAGGTTCATCATTTTTTAAATCATCAACATGTTCGTACAGAATCACAACTTCAGTTTCTGTCTGTCTCTCAAAGGTCTGGTTTTCAAATAGACGGGCCAAGTGCAGGAGGGAAGCCAAGCAGAAGAGCAGCATACACAGTAAGAGAGAGTGAGTGTGAGAGAGAATGTGGTTTCTGAATTGAAGTGTGCATGGCAAGGCCTAAAAAGGTTATTACAATTCAACATGCCAAACTGCATTGAACTGGATACTAATTAAAGCCCTTGAGCGACATGTCTGTTCATGCCTGTCAGTTATTTGATAAAATGCATTTTTCTTTAGCAGCAGACTTTCATAAGCAAAGCAATTTTGTTTCCGTGGATCCAACAATACCACACAGACTCACATCTCAACAGGTATAGTGTGAATTAACACTTTTTGAGACAAATAAGACATTTCCTGAATCTGCTTCTTTCTTTCAGTAATGCTTTCACATGTGAAGTCACGGTTTTCTGCCACAGTTAGAAGATTTTTTTTTTGCTTTGTGTGAGTGATATTCACATTTCTCTTGTCTCTGGGCTCTTCTCAGTAGTTTGACAAGGAGGATGAAAAAGGCGATGTCACATATTTCCGTGCTCCTGTCAGGATTTAGTAACATTCAAGTTAATGTTTGATGACAGTTGCTCGGTCTCTGCAAATACTATCTGATCAAACTGCACCCACCCCTGAAGCAGACTTAGTCATGAAGATTTGTTGTTAGTTTAATTTGAAGCAATGTCATATATAGTCACAATATTTGTGTTGATTTGAAGGCAGTAAGAGTGTCAAGAGTCTGCTGTGAAAACCCAGATGTCTCCTCTTCACATAACACAGTTGTCAGGAAGTTGCAAAATGGCTACATTTTCCCAGCAGAATCAGGTATGACCCTATAAATATCTATTTTTATCAAATCAGTGCATATTATTGCTTGATTGTCCTGGTTCTAAAATGCTATATTGACTTTATAAATTAGTGTTATAGTTATAAATATAAATGTAGAGTCAATATGTAGCTGTAGTTACCTGAATATGAAATAAAGTGGTGAGACGAGTTATAGATGTTATAAAACTAGATGTTATAAAACAATATGATATGCAGTTGCACAAAGGTTTCAAACAACAAAAAAGACTTGGTACTGAAATTGTCAAACGGCTTTCAGTATGGCTTCAGAAAGTATTCAGACCTCTTCGCTTTGTGCTCACTTTGTCTTACTGACTGTGCAAATTCTTAGTCATCCAGGTCATAGTATGCTGAAAAAACTTAGAAGAAGGCATCTGGATGTAGTTTTAGGTAGAAGATGTTTCACCTCTCATCCAAGAGGCTTCATCAGTTCTGTCCGACTGGTGGTGAGCAGGAGGTATTTACCCCACCGGCTGGGGTTTCAGTCCTTCAACGGTCAACAATGTCCTCTTGTCTTCCTGACTTAATTATAAATGCTTACGACTTTTGTCCATCAATATAAACACAATAATTCATAATGGCAAAGTGAAAACCTTTTTTTTGTTGCAAATTTATTAAAAAACAAAAACCTAAATCTTTCAAATACATGTCGTTTTACATTTGACACATAAAACTGACAACAACAACAAGAGCAGCATCATATAAAGTCACAAAATAACACAAAAAACAACCAGCAATCAAAGAAAATACTGACTTTTGCAGAATAAAATATTTAATCAGAAAATATTTTATAAAGAATGAACATGAGGAGATAACTCTTAAGGACATTCTTAAGTGAAGGTATAGTAATTTTTTATTTATTTATTTAATGTACAGGTATGGGGAATCCTGAACTTCTGACATCCATCTCAATTCCACCCTCATTCATCCAGAAGTCTAGTAACATGATGACCCAGAGCATAGACAAGACTCCTCTGGATCTTCAGAGAGGTAGATTAAGTTTCCCATTGGTTCACCATCCCACAGACATGAGGGCATCCCTCCCTTTGCCATCTGAGACTATAAGAACAGACCGTCCTCTGATTCAATGCTGCAACCAGCAGGGAATTTCTTTTACTTGGAGCCAGTATCAGACAAATGAGAAGTTTCTGTTTGCCCAGCAGCCCTGGCATGTGCATGCACATCACTATATGGACTGAGTGAAACCACATCTCTGATATTAGTAATTATATTTCATATTCAGGGTTGATAAGGCAGTTCACTAGAAAGCAACTTACGTAATTTGGATGCAGCTCCATTTCCTGGCTAGAGGGACACATACTGACCAGCAGAGGGTGACAAAGGACTGGAGTTACAGCCTTATCCTTTACACAGTTTTTTTCCCAAATGCCTGCAGCTTTACTCATCGGTTTTCCTTCAACCCGTACAGTTGAAATCTCATTAATAAGGAGTAACATAAATAAATATTTTAAGTCTTACTCAGAACTCCAAATTCTTGCTGTAATTGTTGTATGGGTTACACTAGACAATCCCTGACTTGAAAGAAGGCAACTTTATAAGACATGAAGTGCTGAATAGAGCTAGACAGATAAGATAGCAACATTTTTTTTTCAAATTATTTATTGGTTTTATTGACAAAAGGCGCAAGGAAGCAATGTATCTTATGCCAAGGTGTGATTAAGCCATTAAACACTAGTTCTGCTTGAAGGGTTAGGAGGGTACATTTAGTGCAAATAAAGATAAATGCTTTTGGGATATTTAAGCATAACCTTAACCTGATATTGTACTCAGTGATTTACAGGACATACATTATAGCTCTATGGATCATTTAAGGTTACCACTGGATATTATGGATGTTATCTCTTTTATAGTCTTGGGCTTGCTGCTTATTTAAGTGCAGAAGGAGGTTAGGGTGCTCATCCTAGATTTATTTCCAGGGATGGCCAGTGGGAAAATCTATAAAAACATAGCTTCAAAAAGCCTAAACATGACCTGCTATCTCCTCTGCTCAGCATCAGTTTTTATGACTGCAACAGGGCTGAGGGATTTAGTTCTTTCATATCCCTTTACTACAGTAAAGAAACTGTAAGACTTTGAGTTTCTTAGTAATTGGTCACAGGGGGAAAGGTTGGGATCAGAAGGCAAGCAGCCTGGTCAGCAGCACGGAAGTGTCCTACTGGCAGAATGACTTGTGGGAATTGAGCACCATAAAGCCACCATGTGCTTGACAGCACGCTGTGCACACGACATCAACAGATTGAGGATTCATGGCATCTGATCAAGATGTATTGGCACAAGTGGTGTTTGGGTGCGTCCTTGTTCATTCTGGTAATTTGACAATGAGGAAATACAGTTCAAAAGCCTGTGCAAGTAGCAAAAGGGCTGTACTTGATCTCCTCATTAAAGCAGGGGTGTGTTTTGCACGTAACATGCAATTATCTAATCAGTGTGTGACCTCATATCCCATTTAAGAGAAGTGAGTTTGAATGTTTAGTGGATTGCTAGGATACTGGCAGACTTGCCAGGTTGGAGGTCAGTAAGATTTTCCAAGTCTGACCACTGACATTTGTTGTAGGTCTGCCCCTGTCTCCATTGTTTCCTGTCCGCCTCTTGAATATTAAGATTACATTTGCAGCATTAAGCACATCTTATTTTATACTGAACAACCAAAAAGTTTCAGAGTTACTGGAATATTTATCCAGGTTCAGCTGTATATTACCTAAGTCTGGGAAGTGTTTCCTGTGGTATTTATTATTTATCGCATTCAGTGGTTGTATGGATGATACCTGTTGCTTTAAGAATATTAAGAATATTTATCATTCACCACAATTTGCAGCTCTGAGTGATATAAGGCGTAAACTGCTGAAAAGTGAGTGAACGCTACTGAGTATATGTTATTAGAATCTTTCTTACAATGTATTACAGAGAGGAAAACATGAAGAAAAGTACAGAATGCAGTTAATTTTAATGTCGAGTTCTTTATTAAAATAGGGTTAATACAAAGGCTACAAAAATCAGAAAAGGTCATATATAAAAAATAAACGATTCACTGACACAAAATAGCAGCTGTTATAGAAATGTTTACATTAAACAAATATAAACAGAATGTTCATGAAGTGAAAAATACTTAAGTATGATATTTACAAAAATTAGAAATTGTATCTTACAAAATGTACGAGGGTATTTACATAAACGTAAATTAAATAAGCATTACAATGCCATATGACTATGGTTGACAAGAAAACTGGACAATTTACAAGTACATCATCCATCACATCTGGCATTTGAAGCTTCATTAATGAAGCTACCTTCCTTTACATTGCTGCTCTATATATGTACTTTAACCTTGCTTGTACCTGCACAATGTACTGTAAAGCAGAATGAAGACTACAATGATACGTGCATACAGATCAGTTCTTTGAAACAAGTATTATGAATGAGCCAAATGACTCATTCACTGGAGTGAGCATATATTCCATTCAGGGCATTTAGGGATGTAATTTTGCCAAATCTGTGGTAAACATGCATATGTTTCTTGTAATAGAAACATATAATTTTTTCCAGTCTAACAAACAGCTCCATAATTTAATTCTGGGCAGAACATTACTTGCTAACTTTTTGAACCACAAAAAAAAACCCATGCTGTCTGTGGCATGTTATTTTATGTATGTGTTGCTTTAACCGGGGAATCAAACCCCCCATTATTCTGGGATCTTTAATTACTCTTAGAATAAAGAAACAAACACCTAGTCTTCTTCTTCTCCTACTTTCGGCTGTTCCCGTTAGGGGTCGCCACAGCGAATCATCAGTTCCCACCGAACTGACGATGTGCATGTTTAAACTTGACATGTTTTACACCAGATGCCCTTCCGGATCCACACTGACAATACGCATGGAAAGAAACAAACACCTAGTATCACACCCAATATCTGGAGTCATCTGCAATGTCTTCTGCTAATTAAAAAATAAATATACCTAAATACCACCTACAAGTTACCAGTCTTTTTAAATATTAAACATAATCTGAATCATGAAGAAGCCAATCTGACATTACTATATGAACCAAAATATTCCAGATCTATAAGACCTATAAACTCTTACAACACAGCAGAAACACACTCAATAAATCTGCAGTTATGTACATAAGTAAAAAAGTATGTCCTATTGACCACACACAGCCCACCAGGGGCCACAGTTCCCTCCAAACTGGAGTCCAAACAGCCATGTTATATTTGGCATGGCTCTTTTCTCTCTCATGCTACAAATATTAGCATAAGATTTGGAGCAGTACGCTCAGTCCTATTTAGACCCTCTCACAGGGGAACTAACAGTTACAGCTAACTGGGGAAAGGGGAGTCCAGCTACTGCACACAATTAGCACTGCATTGTTTGCCAAAGCCGGCCATGATTGGCTCCGCCCCCATGACCCCGTTCAGGGACTAAGCGGTAGAAAATGAATGAATGAATGAATGTTTGCCAAAGCTACTGCAAAGGTGTAGTTTATATCTTAAGTACTGGAATATCTGAAGCCAAATTTTAACCTTTGATGGACTTACAGGTGTTTTCTCCTTTGTGATATTACCATATTCTTTATTGGATATGTTTAGTTGCTGTGATAGCTGTAGGGTATCCTAAAGCTTATGACCAGATTAATACATTTGATCATTAAGGGTCACTGTTTCTGTCCATCCACATCATTTGTGTTGGAGGTTAAAAAAGGCTTGAAGTCCAGTTCAACACATAAAAAAGTGGTAACTACAAGGACACTGGGTCCCATCCATATTCAAGTATATTCCAGGAGATAATACTGAGTCACAAGTGTCATTCTCAATGTCTTTGTTTGCATGGCTTCAGAAATTCTGAACATGAGAAAAACAATTAGTGTGCTGTTCATGTGCCCAAGACTGGTTGTAAAACCGGTATTAAAGCGAACAACCTGGATGTCTTGATCTGCAATGTGGAAGAGATTCCATTTGGTATATCCATTCTCCAATTGCTAGTCTCTGTAAAATGACAGATTCAGCCACAAAATCCCAAAATGACCACTTTTCACAAGATGATTTTCCTCACTTTTCCACTGTGGTCCATCCTGGGGAGGTCTTGGAATTTTCTGGCTAAAATTTGCCCCTCCTCTCATAGGCTTGCGACACTCCTTTATTGAGCGGATTTTTCACGCCACAGTATTTTAGTTCCGTTCCAAAGTGGGGTAAAGTTTGAACACTTTGTATATCCACTCTGAGTAGAAAGCAACATTAACAAAAAGCGCAGGCTGCGATGAGGCGCATTTTGTCCTTTGTATACTCACACCAATAATGACTTTGCGCTCGTGTTCCTGGCAGACCAATGGACCACCATTGTCCTTCTGCAAGAATAGGGTAGAGAACAACATATCAGCAACATTAACAATGATTATACTGCATTGTATATGTTCAAACTAAACCAAACCCCAAATGTCTAAAACACTGATACAGTACTTAAAAGTCAGTTCATCTAGTTACAGAGAACAATTCCCACTTAATTCTCAAAAGTGCAAGTTTAAATTTCATTTGTAACTTTTGAAATAGCTCTTGTTGAAGCATCTGCTGGCACTGCAAATAAAATTTAAAAAAACAAAAACAAAAGGATGCTCCTTACATCACATACACCTTCTCCTCTCTTGCCACCAGCACATATTCTGCTATCTCCAGTATCTCCTTTAATTTGTGAGCACATGTCATTGTTGACCATAGGCATAGTTACAGTGTTTAGTGCCTCATCATATCCCGTATCTGAACAGAGAAGAATACACAAAACAGTCAGTGTTAAACATCAATAATAATGGTTTAATATGGAATGTGGCATGGTATATTGGTGAAAGAAGGCAGTACTTTTGGTTTCCCCCCAGCCATACATGGTGCAGTTGGTGCCTTCAGTGATTCGACACTCTTTTACTGGAAGATGAATAGTAGAAGCACCCTCAGACACAGGAGCAGGACTAGAACAAACACAATAACAGGCAAGCAATTATAGTCAGTTATAAAGCAGTATTGCCTTAATACTGGGGGAAATTAACATTTGTGTGAATGTTGCCTGTTGGTGTGGACTTACTGTGCTAGCTTCAGCATAACCAGGTTGGATCCTTCTGGGCCACAGATCAGGCGAGAGATGTGCAGTCTCAGGTGATGTGAGGACTCATTGAGGTGGCGCAGACCAACCTGCACACTATAATCCCTGAGATCTGGAACACTGATGCCCACAAGGACTAGTGTCACATAGAAACCTACAGTATTTGTGACTTGCAAAGCCAGTCCTAAAGAATGACTTAACTGGCTATTAAACTAATCTCACAAAAAAAAAGCGAGAAAAAGGCAAACTGGCTAACACCACTGCACACACTGCATCTTCAAATAGCAGTTGACAGCTGCTGATCTACACTAAACTGTATGTACTACTTATAGAACTGAACATTCATTTCTACAATCAAAGAAAGTTTTCATTAAAGCCACTGGTGCAAATGACAAACTACATGGAGAGTACAGTGGCAAGTATGTGAACCTTTTGGAATTTCATGGTTTTCTGTATTATTTTGTCATAAATTGTGATCTGATCTTCATCTAAGTCAAGAGCACTGACAAATTATAATGTGCCTACAAAAACAAAAAAAAATTCTGATCTTTCATGTCTTTATTGAAGACACTCATTCAACATTCAAAATGGTAGTAGAAAAAGTAAGTGAACCCTTGGAATTAATAACTGGTTGACCCTCCTTGGCAGCAATAACCTCAACCAGGTGCTTCCTGTAGCTGTAGATCAGACCTGCACATCATTCAGGAGGAATTTTAGCCCATTCTTCCTGGCAGAACTGCTTTAGCTCCGTCATATTCTTTGGACGTCTCCCATGTATGGCTCTCTTCAAGTCATTCCATAGCATCTTTATTGGGTTTAGGTCTGGGCTCTGACTTGGCCACTCCAAAAGGTAGATTTTGTTTTTCTGAAGCCATTCTGTTGTGGACTTGCTCCAGTGTTTTGGGTCATTGTCCTGTTGCATCACCCAACTTCTACAGAGTTTCTGCTGATGTACAGACATTCTCACATTATCCTGAAGAATTTTTTGATACACTTGGGAATTCATCTTCCCCTCAATGATTGCAAGCTGGCCAGGCCCTGATGCAGCAAAGCAGGCCCAAATCATGTGAATCATGATTTCCTCCACCATACTTTATGGTTGGGATGTTTTCATCATGATATGCAGTGCCCTTTTTACGCCAGATATAGTGCTGTGTGTTCTTTCCAAATAGTTCAATCTTAGTTTCATCAGTTACGTACTGTAGACTCATGAACATAGATGTTATCCAGTTCCAATGATGCCTTCACATCTTTGGCTGTCACTCAAGGTTGTTTCTTTACCTCAGTGATGAATCTTCGTTGTGCTCTTGGGGTCATTTTGACTGGACGCCCACTTCTTGGTGAAGTAGCCACTGTCCCAAAGTGTCTCCATTTGTAGATTGATTGTCTAACTGTAGACTGGTGAATTTATAAAGTCTTTGAAACCACTTTATAACCCTTTCCAGCTTTATGTAAATCAACAACTCTTGATCATAGATCTTCTGAAAGCTTTTTTTGGTGAGGCATGGCTCACATAAGGATATTCTTGTTGTGTGGAGTAAACTCAAAAAGTTTGAGTGGTTTTATCAGTCAAAGTAGCTCTAGTCCACACCTCCAAACCCATTTTCTTAACAATACTCCAGGTATGCTAACACCTGACTCCAATTAGCTTTTTTGAAGTCATTAACTCAAGGGTTCGCATACCTTTTCCACTAGCACTATGAGGTTTTTATGGTTGTTCTCAATAAAACATGAAAGATCAGATTTTTTTTTGTGTGTTGTTATATTAGGCACATTATATTTGTCAGTACTCTTGACATAGATGAAGATCAGATCACAATTTATGACAAATTAAGGCAGAAAACCATGACATTCCAAAGAGTTCACATAATTTTTCTTGCCACTGTGTATGAGTGGTTTTGCCACAGACAGTTAAATAGATCTCCACTCCAAACAATTTAGCTCCAAGTCTTAGGCCTGTCTAGAAGTTGTCAGTAAACAGGATACAGCCCAAATCTTTAAACAATATTAAATAGAAGCAGCAAATGAAGCTTACTTGAGATATACTGTATGTAAAAGAAGTATAAATGGAAGGGTTAAGGCAAAAAGAATTTGATGACAGACAGAGAATAAAAGGGATATGTTTCAGAAGAGGAACTACCAAAAAAGTCAGCAGGTGGAGCATTACCAGGAGGTGAAGCACTGTTGGTCTGTCAAAACCCAGTCCTCCCTGATCAGTGAACCACCACACAAATGAATCTTCCTAAGACAATTTAAGAAGACTTTGTGAAGATTTTCACTACTACAGTAAGTATAAAGGTATAAATATGGATAAAAGACATTTTATAAAGCACAGATGTAAAATGACTTACTCTCTTTGGATGCTTACGACCCAGCTGCCATCTGTACCTCGCACCTGATGTCCTCCAACTATTCTGGTGTTTATATGCACAAAGCATGATATCTTGGGTCTGGTTAGAGCTAAACAATGACACATTTTTGATGATGTATGTTAGATGGATGTACTTTTTACATTTCAAAAAGATATACAGTACTAAAGCTAAGACAAGGAAGAAGACTAGATTAGTAAAAGCCAGTTAAGCAAAAATGATACTCACTGTTTGGTTGAGGAGCTACTGTAGCTGATCCACCTGATAGACGTAAAGAAAAGTACAACTGTGAGAAGAGACCTCACAGCAGCAGAAGTAAATCAAACCACGGACACACAGAGCATGAAACCTCATCGAAAAAGACACAGTCCTATACTTTATAAAGGCTTATCTCAGAATTTGGTTCATTGTTGGAGTCTAGAGCAGTTGGCAATCACAGCAAATAAATTTACTCAAGACCTCAAAAACTTCATAGGATACATGTTTTTAATTATGGAAATTATTGGATAGCCGTTTAAAAGAGGTTCTTCAATGCATCCAGATTGAAACCAGCCAAATAAAATGATGGGTCCAGTTGCTTGAGTGTGTGTTTTCACAAATAAAAGAGTGGCAGCAAAGATCTGCATCTGGTTGCTGTTTAAGCATCATGAATTCTCTGCCAATTGGACAAAACCACAGCATGCTAACAGATTACATAAGCCACCAGACAAGATGTATAAAAAACAACTTGTGCTGCACATCCCTGGCTGAATTCTACACAAAGCAAATAGAACTAAACATGGTGACACTTAAGTCAGCCACCTATCCCCACTGCTCATGGACTTACAATACTTGCATGTTGGAGACAAGCAGTTTTAATTTCTGAGGACACTCCAACAGCTCCCAGGACAGGTACATCATGTACATACAAACGAATGTTCAAAAGCAAGTATATCATAGCAAAGTAATGAAAAGCTGCTTTCAAATGTCTGGACAGTTTTTGTAATGTTCTGAAGCCAACAATCCACACCTGCAGCTGGGTTTGGTGCCTGCAGGGGTAAAATTGCCCACAACTCCAAAGAGTCTGCAAATACTTTTCTCCACATTCCCCACATTTTTAACTTTTCATTCCTTGGTATTTATGTAGACATACTTTTCATCTTTGTTGAGGTCCCGTGCTCTGAGAAGTGTGACCAAAACAATAACACTGATATAAAGACACCTGCTCTATGTTTTAGCATTGAACCCTCACAGCAGATTAAGCAGTGCCAGGAAATGTGGCAACCTGTTTGTTGCTTATAAAGGCAACATTTTATATTCTGTAGCCCGTTAACTTTAACAACATATTTACTGTACAGATTTGACAGTGATATGGATTTTCTTATTTAACTCTCAGCAAGAAAGAAAACATTGTTAAACCTTTAAGGTTTGCTAAATCGATCATTAAAATGGTTCTATGCAACATGTGCATCCTTAACAGTCTTTCTACAATGGTGAACTAAGGATCTGCAAATATTTATAACTGACATGAGACAGATGTACTACTGTTACAGTGATGGACATTAGAGGAGAGAATTAAGCCACTCACATTGCTTCAGTTTGCAGTAATCCCAGGCCAAGCGGTTATTTGGATTGGTATAACACCAGGGGCCATGCTTGTCCCGGTCTGGGTTCCGGCAGTAGTTCTTCTCCAGCCCTACATGGGATACTGTAGAGTGAGAATCCCCGCTGTAAAGCACACAAATACAGATTCTCATATTCCATTTGTTATTTTACACAGTGTTCAGAACTAACACTGGGCCATGTTCATAAAGATTCATACACGCGCTCACACTCTAAAAGCAAATGAACCTGTACTGCACATACACACCAAGAACGTCTGATTCTGGATTTCCTATAGTGCAGTGAATTCTATGCATTTGCTGCAAGGCCCAAAGAAGGAAACAGAGTTTTGTGAAAAGCGCTCATGGGAGTATGAAAGTATGCACGCTAAGCATTCTACATGGCTCAGACCAACAGGAGCCACATCCTCTGCGGAATGATTTGTTTGTGCTACCAATTTGTAGGAATGAATATAATCGTGTGTCTTTCCTCAGGATTCCACTTGGCTCTATAAGAATTAAATGTAGTGTTCTTAGATATCCAAAATATCCCTGAAAAGCAGTTAGGAGGTAGGAGTTTGGACACACACACACAAAAGTAATGCTAAGCTATAGGCAACAATTTGTCAGGTAGTGAAGATAATTCCACTTCCCAGGAGAATGTTAAACAAGCTGTAGCTCTCAGCAGTTTTTCCTGGGATGACCCTTGACCTTGAGCAGGTCAGACTAGCTGACTGCAGCCTACACAAGGGAGCCGATTGGCTTTGATCTACTTTTCTCAGAAAGAACTTCCTGGGGTCAAGGGTCAACTCTGGAACATGTCCATCTGTCTGTGCCATTTTGGCTCTTAAAATTCCTGTAAATTAAGTAATTCCAACAGCCAGACTTCAGCACGAACAACCCTATAGTGGGCAACCTCTCTGTCAGGGTGGGTCACTTGGAGAGCACCCGAGGGTTTCCTCTCATCAGTTAGATGAATAATAATTGGGCTTGGTATTGACCCCTGAGGAACCCCCAATTTCCTCTTGCTGTTTGTTTTCACTGCTTAGCTTCTTCATATGAAAGGGATTTTCACAAGGCAGTGGGAGCTAAGTTGTCAACAAACACTAATCAACCGAGGTGAAAGAATATCAGTCTCTCAGAAACATTTTCAGTTAGCAGGAGTAGCAGTCCAAATGTGTATGAGCAATAAATGACTTTGTTACCTGTTTATGTGATGTGACCAGTCTGCACAGGGAATCCCCGATCGAGTTATGGATAAAGTGCCCCGGTATGTCTCTCCGTTGTCTTCATAACACTCTGAGAAAGAACAGAATAAAGTTATTTTAGACCTCATTAAATATTCCCATGTGTGCATAGGACTACTGAGCCCAGCAGTTTCTCAAACACCTACTAAATGCAGTCAGTAACTACTCCAATGAATACATATATGATTTGGGTTGTGGCTGTCTTTCTCGCTGAGGCAAACATAACATAACCATTTCAGAATTTTGGTTCCTCTTTGTGGTTTGGATCAATTTAATGTCAAGGGCCTCTGTGTAACTGAGGGTTCTCAAATGTAAAAGAAAATGTCTGCTCTTAAGCAGAATCAGAAGAGGGGGTATAGTAGCTAACTGCTTGGCTGTTTTTGACATGTGTGGTCTCCTGAAATGTAAAGCAGAGAAACATGGGAAATGACAGTGAAGACTATTGCCAAAGACTGGTGTTTTTGTTCCTTTGTGAAACAGAATTCACTGGGCAGCACACTGCCAAATGGCTCACTGCTACAGACAGGCCCAATATAATTCCATTTTGCACAAACATAACAGACCTTTATAGTTCTGTATCTCAATCACATTATTAAAGAATTAACTTACAATTTTCAAGATATTTGCCATTCTCTTGAAGTTTGTCACCTAGAAAATGATTTGTTTTGACGTTTTAGAAAATAAACTCATTTCTTTCCAAGAGTGAGATGAGTTAAATCCCAAATTCACATCTGTGTGGTAAATATGTTGAGTAGCTAGTGACAGCAGCCATTTAGATTAGCTTAGCTCAAAGAAACTGCTAACTTGGCTCTGTCCAAAGGTAACAAAACCCATCTACTGTCAAGCTCACTAGCTCACATATTATTTCTTGTTTGGTTAATCCAACCCCAAAAACTAAAATATGTTGTGGTTTTGTGGACTATTTCTTAGCCAGGGAAAGCAACTTCCTGTTGCTGCTGCTGTTCCACACCTTGTCAACTTGCAGCTACAGCATGCAATTTCCTATAAAACAACTACTTGTCATTTTTTAATCACTGTATGTGGTAATTAGTATGTGTCAGTGGTGGAAGAAGTACTCACATCCTTTACTTAAGTAAAAGTAGCAATAGAATAGTGTAAAAATACTCCATTACAAGTAAAAGCCCTGCATTCAAGATGTTGCTTAAGTAAAAGTACAAAAGTATTAGCATTAAAACATAATTAAAGTACTAAAGGTAAAAGTATATCATATTATTGGATTATAATTTCTGATGCATTTCTGTGTGTAGATCACAATTAATGTTGCAGCTGGTAAAGGGGGAGTTAGTTTTAACTAGCTTATATGCATTTAATTTGAATTACTGCTGGGTAGCTTGTGAATTTCCCACCATAGATCAGTGAGGTCTTATAATATACAGTATTTTTTGTATTAATCTGGTTCTAAAAAGTAACTATTATCAAATAAATGTAGTGGAGTAAAAAGTACAATATTTTCTTCTAAAATGTAGTGAAGTCAAAGTATGAAGTAACTGAAAATGAAAATACTTAAGCAAAGTACAGATATCTCAAATTTGTCATGAAAACAGAAGAAATGCGCAGTGATTTTCCCTATTTCATGCCTTTTTGTGTCAGATATTTTTCTGTTTCAAAAACATTTGGAATAGGGTCTTCTTCTTCTTCTGTAAGATATCTTTATTTATTGGCTGGCAGTGACAGTTCTGACACCAACTCTAACAGAAGTAAATCGACCTCATAAACAGAGAACAGCTGTGTACTGAAATGTCTTCGGTTCACATCTTTTAAATGAAGTATTTATGAGTTGTTTATATGCCTAATGATGATTTGCATTTGAGTAAATATACTTAGTCACTTTCCACCACTGTGTGCGGCCCTTAGATACATATTTGACACACATTTTTACACACAATCCAATATCAATTTGCTTATACCTAGTACATGCTTGAATGGAGTAGGAAGAAGTCAGACTTATCCAGTCCTACCCCATGACAACCCCAACAGATATTTTTCAACTGTACATAAATGAAACATTTGACCCATTTCAAGAAAGTGAATAATTTCCCAAACATGTCTGACTGTTCCTTTAAAGTACAAATTGTTCAGTAATTTACCTATTTTTTGTGTGGCATCAGCATCACACCTGGGGATGTGGGTGCATTTGGCTATCCTTTGATTGGGGTCTGTGGTGAAGCACCATGGATAATCTATACCATCAGGGTTGCGGCAATAATTCTCTCGGAGGTCTCTGTAACATACACACAAACTACAATTTAAATGATGGTGCTTGCAGACTGTATGTTGTACAAAAAAACTTTTTGATTTTAAGTTTCATTTTCAGCACCTTTCTTTCTGGCATGTCCACAGTCAAACACACAAAATGAACAACAATCACCTCCTTGCCACAGCAGAAAGAAAGGAATCCAAGCTGCTCGGAGCCAAAAAACAAGGACTACTCACTTGCATTTGAAGTTTTGAGAAAGAAATGAATGTTTATGGGGGAACTGAGAGTCCCATCGCTGGCACGTCACACCCTCTGGAGTGATATTGATGGTGCCTCGGTAATCTGTGCCTTTTCCCTGGACACAGGATGTTGTTACATTGACATCTGTGTCCTCGCTGGAGTCTGACTCTAGTAATGGGAGAGAAAAAAAAAACAACATAAACATAGTAATTGTGAGTGTAGGCATGAGAAAGAAAGCAAAGGAAACAGAGTGAATGAGAGGGTGACATGCAAAAACGGAAGGCAGGAAGGACAGAGGGAGAGAAGGAGGGAGATATTAATCCCCAGAAGAATGTGTCATGTTTAACCTAGAGACAGATGATCAAAAACAGTAGCATTCCCCCTGCTCTCACTTGTGATAGGAAACTTTCTATTTATCCAAAACACTGGTGGCCCCACATTCTTGCACGTAATGACATCCACAACAATATACAGTTATTTAACATTTTGATGATACAGAATTTCACAGGATGTTGTAAGAAAAGACCTGAAGCCTGATCACATTGATCATACAGTATGTGAGTACATCTTTGCCTCAGAATTAAACATGAAAATTCTGTTTCTGGTGAATTTGTGTATTGCAGCCCAAACAATAATAAATATCACATCCAATTATTCCAAACATCTTCAGATGGAATTCGTGATTTCAGCAGAACAGGAATATCAGTACATGGGGAGCAACTTCTCCTCTCCAGAGTTATTTTTCTCTGTTTCTTTAGCCTTTGACAAATGAGATGGGAGAAAACAGGGGGAGAAAGGGAATATTTTGAGGCAGAAACAAGAAGACGGGTGGAGAAGAAAGATTCTTTGGCTTGATGCAATGCATGCCAGTGTCTCTGTGCACCGCATAGTACAGGTCAGTGGTTTTTATCTTTTTGAGGCCAGGCATTGAGGGATACACACATCTGGACAAATGTAGATCGTCTGCCCTGGCTATAAATCATAACATGTACTGTAAAGTACGTGTGCGTATGTATCTGATTGAGACAGAGAGAAGCTCTGCATGTCTGTGGGAATATTTCAATGTGGTTCTTCAAAGGTGTAACCTCTTTTTGACATCTATTCCTTTTCTTTTCCTCTGTCTTTTACATTATGTATGAAGGCAAAAGTTATCTAAACAACAACTCTTTCAGACTGTAGCAAATGTGATATGACTTGATTGAAGTTACCACATTCAAAAAAGTTTACATATACTGTAGCACCTTATCAAATACATTAACTGTGAAACTAGTGAATAGTTTCATTGTTGATTAATCTATAGTTTTTGTTTTTTCAATTAATCAAGTTTCCAGAGTTCCAAAATGTCCAAAATAGTGAAAATTGGGAATCTCAGTTTCCAAGAGCACATGGTAAAGTTCTTGTATTTCAAGAACTATAAGTGAAGCATCTGCAGTTGTCTTGGTTTTTATACATTATTTCAGATTTTTTTTCTTTAATTTGTCTCTTCTCTACTGTATACGGGACATGATTTTAACAACAATGTTTACCCCACTAAAACAACCATCAGACCTTCCAGTGACTATGTAAGGCATCTCAGTATAGTGGCCTCTATTGGAATTCTCCACTTTATAGCCCCTTGTTGTTTGTAAGTGGTCTCAACACTTCTCTTTCTGTGAAGTCAGGCCCTCCTCTTTACAAACAACCTATTTACTCTTCCTTTTTGAGGTAGAAGGATTTGAAGCCAGGCCTGAATGAAACACCCAGCCGGGTAAACAAAAGCCTTATGAGACTCTGCAGGGGAGAGGAGTTTTGCTACTCAGCTGACCATAAGTACCCCCAAAGTCCTGAATATAGCAACCCCCCCCCACACATCCTTGTACTATGGTACCAAACAACTGCTAAACCAAGAAAAAGCTCCTCGGTTCTGTGTCCACTCTTGACATAGGCCAAGAGTGTCAGCTCCTAACTGTGAAATACACTTATTTTTCACACAGTTAGGTTGGTTAAGGTTATAAGGTTGAAAGGATGTTATAAGGTTGAAAGGATACTAGATGCTGAGCAAAACGGTCAACAAAGTCATACATGAATCGAGTAAAACAATTATTTGGTCTTCAGTTGATTTCTTGAGGATTTGTCCACAAAACCCAAACCCAAAATTTTGTGTTTAAATGCAGATCGTAAGCCCTTACCACACACAGTGATGTTGCAATACTCCCATGGAGTTTTGGGATCCATGGTATAGCACCAGGGACGGAGACGATTATCTGGGTTACGACAGTAGTTGTCCTTTAAATCTTTGTCCCGATACCTGAGAGAGGAAACAGCAAAAGCACAAGAAGGAAAGACAAAGCAAGGAGTGAGGCCTATCTCTCTTAAGTGTAGGTGTAATTTATTTACGCATCTGTCATAGGTCTGTGCAGAAGCTGTCTGTAAGGAAGGTTGGTATGTGATTATCAACCCTGTGGCTTACTTTTTGGGCTGGAAGTAGTGTTTGTGAGGCCTTATTGAGTCCCATCTCTGACACTCCTTGCCGCTCTCTGTATGGTCCATTTTACCTCGGTAAGCCTCCCCATTACATGTTATACAGACTTCTGTCAACAACAACAACAGAAAAAAAGAATTGTATCAAATCTTTATTTTCTCTAGTAATGAGTACAAAGAAAACAAAGACTTTTCAAAGAAAGAAATTATATCAACACTGATTAATTCTCTCTGTTTGTGCTTTATAATGTGACTCTGAATTATTTATATCTCATCATCCAGTGCAGATGGTCTTACCCTCTGCACACTGTGGTATGCCACACTCCTCAGTTCGTACATTGGGGTCTGTGGTGTAGCACCACGGACCACCGGGGTCGTTGTTGGGATTCCGACAAAAGTTCTCCCTCAGGTCTTGTGTTGGGTACCTATCAGGATAAAACCTACAAGGGCGCAGACAGGCATTAAAGTGCTGACTGATACTGTAAGCTGTGCAAATAAATTTTAGGGAATACTTGCACACTTGGCTGCTCCAGTACTGTAGACAGTACTACACCTGCCTGCTGATGTTCTCAGTAACAAACCAAATAAATTCAAAAGGTATTTACATTAAGATGTAAACCTCACTCTGAGAAATGGTTACACTTCATGCAAAGTAAGTCATCAATACATTTCTCCTCTCTAGGCTTGCACTTTTTCATAACTGCCTTACTGATTCCCATCACATCTCAGCTCCTTCAAGTGTACAGCAGCCAGATTCTGTCACAGCACAGTAATCACTGACAGCACAGAGCAATGCCATGAACCACTTAGAGCAGCCCGAGCAAGTCCTTTGGTTGCAGCCTTTGAACACATTAAACCTAATCCCTCTGTGTCAGCTGCTACCTTGTGTCACTGTGAACAAGCAAGTGTAACACTGTAAGAAACAGAACCTTGCAAGTCCAAACATAAGGAATGTAATGATGGGGAGCAGCATGCGATCCCCATACTAAATGGACAGTGTGTGAAATTTGTCTCCTGTCAGGGCAGGATGATGAAAATATGGCAAGTCAGCACTCCCGATCCATATTGACCAAATTCCTCCCCCCACCCAGGGAGACAGAAAGGGAATACAGGGAGATATTTCTTTGGACATAAAGAAAGGGTGAAAAGAAAAAAGTGAAGTGACTGAGTTAAGTACTTAATAAAGAAAAAGTGGGAATAATAGAGTAACACTGGCAGGAGCCAAGTGTTTTAATGTTATGATGTAAAAAGAAAAAAACATGCTAGAAAGGAAGAAGGAAAAGGAAAAATAACCAAAACCCACCCTCCCTTCAACAGCTTGTCTGAATACTCTACCCCAGGCAATGACTCTTTTCTTGGGGGAGTCTGCTCAGCTCTCCCCTCTGTGCCCTGGGGCTTATGCAAGGCTTCTACATTAATGTACAACATCATTCAACCCAGAAGCAGAAGAAATCTCAGTCATCTATCTTACCCAAAAAAGAAAGAGAGCGCAAAGGAGAAACAAGGGGAAGACCTTCAAACTATATAGTAAAACCAACCAAGTGTCAAAATACAAAAGGTTTGAGTCTAACAGCAAGCTTTTACTTGAGTTTCAACTCCTCCCCTCTGGACGGTGCTACAGGTCACTGCATGCCAAAACAACCAGGGACAAGGACAGTTTCTTCCCCCGGGCCGTCACTCTGATAAAAAGTTAACCCATGACTGTGTAACAGAATGACAACCATCAGTGCAATACCTTGTAAATATACTTTTACTACATCTAAACTCTGTGTGTGTGTATACATATACAAGGTGGGTGAAAAAAAGTAACTAGGCATTAAAAATTGGCTATAATGCCTACATTTCACCCACCCTATATGTATTTACAAGTACTTTATTTTTATTTTTATTTTCCTAATGCACATTGCTTTTTCTTTTTTGCACATTCTTCTTCTTTTTGTTATGTCAGTCTTATCTTGTTTACTTGTCTACTCATTACTTTACAGAAGAACATTGTACATACACATCAAGAGCCACTGTACCAAGGTCAAATTCCTCGTGTGTCCAACACACCTGGCCAATAAAGCTGATTCTGATTCTCATTCTGATTGAATCCCCTCCAAAGTAGCACTCTGCCAAGCCTCAAAACTCGCATCTGTTGTGTGTACTCAATATATTTATATCAGATTACAGCATCCTTAATTTATAAATGGAATTACAATACCTCACTTTACAAAATAGGCTGCATCTGGTGAGAGTCTGTAAAAGGCCGCAGCATGGGAGCAAGTTAGCCATAATGATGTTGTGCTAGCAGATGTTAGCCAGTTATTCATCTCCTTGCCAAAGTCTGTTCCCATCGGAGTGCAGACAGACACTATGCACACATGCTTCACTCTCTGGACCGGCTAAACATCTTGGCTAGATTTGGGATATCACAATGGATGAAATCTAGACCTAGAGTAACAGCAAAATGTCTCGCAACATGCACCTGGTGGTTGCGGAACAAACACGGTCGAATAAAGTAAAGAAGCGAGCGGGGACTACATGAACCTGAAGACATAAATACAGATTTTTGGAAGTGGTGTACAACATCTGAAAAATGCTGAGATGTCCTAAAAGGAATGGTTTGAAATCTTGGCAAATAGTTTGCTAGTTCGCTTTCATTCTGAGATTTAGTTGAAAAGTTCAACAGCACTTCATTTTTGCCTGTAAACGGTGAGGCCAATTTAAGTACAGTTGGATGAGCCACGCTAGCTTTTTCCTCTAAACTAAGCTAACTGCCTGTTGGTGGAAGCTTCACATTTACCATAGAGACATGAGAGTGGTATCAATTTTCTCATCTACCTGTTGGCATGAGAACAAATAAACAAATTATCTTCTTAACTTTTCCTTTAAACAAAACAATAACTCCAAGCCGCTGGGGTGTGTTTCTCTAGCTCAATGTGCTCACTGACGTCAATTGGTAGGAAAATAAAAGAATGTCCCAAGTTGACTGCAATGTTACCTATTTTTTTATCAGTATGAACAGTAATTAACTATTCCATTTCTTCCTCCACACTTGGCTTGGCATCAGTCCGGACTTCTTTCAAACATTAAATAAAGACAAAAGGTAGAACAGTCTTTCCTGGAAAGGAACCCCTGAGAAATCACCCCTGTCCTAAGGTGGTCAGTCAAGCATGAAAATAATAGTTACCTGAAACTCTAATGGTGTGTGGTTCATTATGGTGGTAATTCTCACACAGCGGGACGGTCCCATGTTAGGTAACCACAAAGAAGCATTAAGTCTCCCTTAAAGTAAAGCTCCCTTCGACCATTTGAAAGGTAAAGGTTGCTGACAAGCTAAGGCTATGTTGTTGGAAGTTACAGTATATGTACCATCTAGGATGGGGACTGGAACCTAGTGCCAAATAAATAAGTGACAAAGCAATCTGAAGAACTGCTTCCTGACAGGGAACGAAGGACTTGGAAGACAAGGGGGAAGAGGAGAAGAACCAACACATCAGTGCAGTTTAATTGTGGGTGATCACTGAACTTGTATTTTCCTTCAGTATGCCTGTGGTTTTTTTTTTAGCTCAGCTGGACAACATACAGAATATGACTCATTCATTCATTCATTCATTTTCTACCACCGCGGTGGTTGCGGAGCCAATTCCAGCCAGCAATTGGGCGAAGGCGGGGTGCACCCTGGACAGGTCGCCAATCCATCGCAGGGCTCAGAACATGACTGCAGTCTATAAATCTTTGCACTTTCTCTCTTTCATTCTACTTCCCCCTCTGTCTCTTTTTTACTCTGCACTTCTTCATACTCTTAATACTCTTTCTCTCAACCCTGTCCCTGCTGAAGTTAAAATGCTTTCTAAGTAATGAGCATCTTTGCAAAGTCACTGATCTTGCCTCTCTTGTAACCATGATTATAACTTTTTTCAGATACACCCGATTGCCTATGCTGCAGCAAAAAAATAAAAAGCAGCCTCATTGGGGGGAACCCTGCATGTGTTGAAAGAAAGCTGACTTAGCTCTGGATAAACGTTCAACCAGCTAAGAGCCTCCACCTTCCCTTAACCCCTGAGGTGCAGGGGAATAATCTGACCATCAATAAATCAGCTGCTGAGGCCTGTTCAATATCAGACACAGTGAAATAGAGAAGGATCATCCAGGAAGGTAGATGTAGGCTTTGAAGGCTACTGGTTCAAATCTATGGGAATGTGGCCAGAGGAAGTGAGAGATTAACACCTTCTCCTCTCTGAAAACACCCTCGAGGTGACAAGTGAAGTTTTGTAACTATTTTTAATCTCACAAATAGCCACTATTTCCACAGACAACTCTTTGTTGACCTTCTTACTAAAAAACAAGAGGACTTACGTGTGCTCATTGATGATATTATCTGACCAAGCTTGGCAAGGGATGTTTGACTTCGTCCAAGCCCTCCTCCCTCTGTAGTTGTCCTTGGTGCCGACAATACACTCCCTTATGTAATCTAAGTAAGGGCAAAGGCATAAAAAGCATCTGAAAACATCCATCCATGTTTTTACTTGGTACAAACTGTTCCTGTGTACTCTCTGTGTGCCAATCTATACAGCATTTGAGCAATTAAAAGTTTATTTGTGCTCGCTGCCTTGACCACCTGTAACATGTTTTGCCATGTATGGTCAGTAACATTTTTACAGCATATGGTTTACTGTGTCCCGGCTTGTGTGTTATTCCCATAACTGACAACTTCTTGAAGTTCATTAAATATCACCGGTGGGGGGATAGAGATGTGCGTGTGTGGGGGTTGGGGGTGAGATCACAGGGGTTGGAGTTTCCGTAAATTTTGCAATAACTTCTAAAGTGTTATACTCCACAGCCTGCATTAGAGAAAACTGTTGTGCGCCAACTGTATACAATAATTTCTTTTCGTTTACATCTCACTTAAGACTTGCTGCTTGTTGTGCGTGCAACTCTGTCCACCAGAGTGATTAGACAGCAGTGGGGTGAAGGGGGTAAATTACTTCCACTGTGTCATCAAAAAAAAATAAATAAAAAATTTCAAGAGGCCACAGCTAGAAACACAACCTGAAATCATCAACAAGCAATTTGCCTGTGTAAATGCCTCTCTGCATCTGAACGGTCTCATTAAAACACTAAGAGACTGTCTGTGAAAATGACAACATTTACCTTTTTTTTCATACAAAGTAAAGTTGACGTTGGCCTGTTTCTGCACACTGTGGGTTAAACGGTCAAAGGGAAGCAAGTGGCATTTCCTGTTGTGCCTCTGAAAGTTGAAAGCCCTGTAGAAACACACAGGAAGTAGTTCAGAGATCAACAAATGATTAACAACAAAAATATGTAAATAGTGCATCTACACTGGGGGAGAGGAGGAATGAGGGGAACATTTCCATGAATAAACTGAGTCCTGGGCTTCCAGAGAAACAGAGAAAGAAACTGTAAGTCACCTGCAGTTGAAGTTTTTCTTTATCTTCTTGCACTTTCGGGCACAGTGCTCCTGTGATCGGCTGTTTCGTACCACAACAGGCTGAGGACAGTTTGTGCAAACCAGCAAGTGGTTCTCAGTCTTCTCATACCTCTGTAATGACTGATGGGTCCTTCTACAGCAACCTGCAGGGACATTTAAGAACATTTATTGTAAAGACGTCATTTTGGCATCAAAATTGCAACAATTTTCCTAGATTTTTCTGAAAGCTCAGAGTTATCTGACAAACAAACACATTTAATTGAATGAATATTGTGCTTTACAGACAATGTACACTATTTCCAACCCTTCACAGTCTTAACTGTGGCATGATTAGTCTTGCTTCACTTCACTCTCGTCTCTCATTCCTTGTCTGTATCTACACTGTCATTTATCAATTAAAGACAAAAAACATCTAAGAAATTTTGTGGAATTAACAAAGCTTCAAACATTGCTCATATACTGGAAGACATAGCCAAACATTTCAGTCCTGCTGTCAAAGTACTGGAGATGGAGAAAAACTTGTCAAAGAATGGAAAATACAGCTGCAAGAACAATTAATGGCACTGTTGGCAATTTCCTGGGTTTCTGCATATATTGGTCATGAAATATGATCTGATCTTCACCAAATTCACATGTATCAATAAACACAATATTTCTAAGCCAATAAAACACAAACAGTCTTGAACTTTCATATCTTTATTGAAACACCCATTAAACATACAAAATGATGGTAGAAAAAGTAATGACAACATTGTTTTAATAACTGGTTGAACCACCTTTGGGAGCAGGGACTTCAAGCAAGCACTTCCTGTAGCCGTGGATTAGACCTGCACAACATTCAGGAGAAATTTTGGACCATTCATATTCTTAGGATGTCTGGTGTGAACAACTCACACTGTTTGAGCATCTTTAAAAATGAAGGTAGTTCTAAACCACGCCTCCATTCTTGCTCATTCTCATTTCATTGACTGGACTCCAGGTTTGCTAACACCTGACTCCAGTTGATGTTTAGTGACATCAGGGGCCTGGTGTTTCCATTACTTTTTCCACCATCACTTTGTATGTTCAATGGGTTTGTCATGACTGTTTGTGTTTTATCAGCTTAGAAAGATTGTGCTTGTTGATATATGTGATGTTGGTGAAGATCAGATTATATTTCATGACCAATATATGCAGAAACCAAGGAAATTGCCAACAGTGCCATTAATTGTTCTTGCAGCTGTATTTTCCATTCTTTGACAAGTTTTTCTCCATCTCCAGTACTTTGACAGCAGGACTGAAATGTTTGGCTACGTCTTCCAGTATATGAGCAATGTTTGAAGCTTTGTTAATTCCACAAAATGTCTTAGATGCTTTTGTCTTTAATTGATAAATGACAGTGACCAATTTCATGACCAATTTATGCAGAAAACCAGGAAATTGCTAACAGCACCATTACTTTCTTTGTGACTGTATTTCCTGGAGTTTCTGCTGGTGATTTGATGGTTAGAATAATAAGAAACATGAGTGCTGGTTTCAGGGTCTTGGGATACAGGAGGCGGAAGAAAGGTGAAACTACTTCACTGTCCTATCAGCGGTCAGTGAAGGCATCCTTCAAATACAGTTTGCATCAGTCCTCATGTTTCTTGGCATGTTGCATTTACCCTGCACAATCATGCTTGTGCAACACACTGAACCCTTCAAATTTCCACTGCTCTGCAGCTCTGGGGCAAACTTTTCTTTAGATCCTGCTTCAGCTGTGTTAGACAAATTGAGGTAGCAGACTAGTTTATGTGTCAGAAAAGCCAATATGAAGTGTGTCCAGCATCAAAGCCCAGCTCAAAATTCTTCTGAGTGCTCTCCTGTTTCAAACCAGAGTAGCTGCCTCAGTGCAGCACCCACTCTGTGCTGAACTGTGAGGAGAACAAAATGATGTACATCTAACGGGCTGATGTGCTCCAGTTGGAGATTTGATGCTCATGAAAGTATATTTTACTGTGTCCAGAACGAGCCACAAATCAGTCTTTTCAACAGTTTTACTACTTCATGGTATTGGTTATGCTGCGGTTTTATGTTATTGTCAGTAAACTGAATGGATATCTATCTGTGATTCCTACAGAAACACATCATACATTCATGACTCCTTAACAGCCATGAAAGAACCCCAGCTATTTAAACACAGTCAAATCTAATTTCTTCCTTTTCATTTTTAACAAGAGGGGTGACATTTATTTATTTTTTTAATCAAACAAAAGAAGATGCAGTCAGAATCCCTGTTTCTTAAGAAAGTTTTAAAATCACTCATCATTTCTACTAAATAAAAAGTTTGAGTGTGGAAAAATGGAAAGCTGTCAAAGATGCAAAAGGACATTACATTTCATTCTTGCTTAATTTACAGGCTTTTGTCAGTTCTTTATAGTAAGAACATCAAAAGAGAATTCTAGCATTACAAAGGCATAGCATAATGTACATTAGACCCAAGTAGGTTCAAAAGCAGGACATAACCATATTTAAGGTCTTTATCCTTCACACTAATCATTAATTTTATATTGTGAAAAACCTTAGAGCCCATACTCAAGAAGAATAAAGCTCTACCGTAAACACAGTTTCAAAAGGATTCAGAAATTATGCATTATGTGTTTAGTTATAGTAGTTTTCAGTTTATAACTGGAGGTTATCGCAGTATAAATGACAAGAAAATCGCATGCTACTTAGTTACAGCAACATCCTCGTGTGCCAAGATTGGACACAAAACACTGTGTGTGTACTTAGGATATAGTAAAGTGTGGAGCATTAGGAGGGTCCTCGTGGTTGCAAATGGTTTTTGGGGAGGATGTGTTATTAATGTTTGGGCTCCGCTGGACCACATCTGGCACTCATCACAGTGCTGCTCCAGCCCTGATGTCTGGCCAGGCTGCTCAATTAGATTTCACTTAGTCTCTTCCTCTCCCTGCAGTCAGACCGCTGCTATCTCCAAATCCCAAACGTTTTTATAGAATTTGGAATTTATAATAAAAAGGTGCTCAGTGGGTGAGTATGAAAGAGATGCGATTTAAAGAGAACAAGCAGTAATAGCTTAGAGGTGCAAGCTGGAGTAACTAGTTAGCATGAAAGGTGACCAGCTGACACTCTGCCTTTACCCAGAAACTTCGACTCTGGTACACTTCAGCAAACATCTTAAGTGTCAGCTGGGAAAATATTTTTGTCATAGTTTTCAGATAAACTGTCAAAAAAGCAATATTAAAGATGATAACATTTATTAAATTTTAGGCAATGTGGAGGAAAAGATGCATAATATGAACAATAGGAAAGTAGCAGGTAAGGCGCACACTTCTTACAGCTGCACCGCCTGTGGAACTCACTTAGTAGCCAGATGTTACCCCCCACCCCCCAAAGTCAACCCATTTCCTGCACCACACACATCTTTTCTATCTCTTTACCGACTGGAACGCGCGAATACCACAGCCAGGCGCACGCTTTACTTTCCGCAACTGCAAGAAAATCAGAGGTCAGGGTCGGCACCCCTGGATTTGGCAGCTATGGGTTCAATGCTTAAGTGACATGTTACTGGGGCGGACGTAACACGAGAAATCCTCTATAGCCATCGGATCTAGTAGCTCGATAATACATAATAAATAAATAAATAAATAGTAGTGTGTGCGCCCCGAGCTGTGCTGCAATTAAGGAGACGTGCACAGCATCCTCCTTTAGCTGGCGTTAGTCCAACACATGCAGGAGTGTCTGCCAGTGAATTGATCATGACCTGTAGAAAAGTGTGAGTGACAAAGCGGTAATGTCAGATCAGCTTCACACCAGACACGGGTTTGGACCTTTAAAGAGCTGCAGTGACACGATGCGCATCTTTACCCTGGAGAGGAAAAACATTCCGAATAGTAAATATTATTGCAGAAAACACTTGAAATGCATTAATGCTACTGGTCTTTAGGCAATGTAGCTGTTTACTCGCTGTTATAGCCCCAAAGGTGAACTCAACTCAAGTCAACTCCAGCTCGAGGCATTAACGGTTATTTAATGGGAGGAATGGTTTTCTGCTTGCTAATATTCAAATTTTAACAAGTACAAAAGAGTTATTAAATATTTGACTCTCCCTTCAAAAACAGCCGTGAGCGGTTTCTCTCTACAAACCTCAATTAATGCATCAAAAAGTGAGCCGAATCAACAGTGCAAGACGGGACTTGCGATCAGTTTCATTCTGTGCCACTGTAATTAAAAAACTGGTTATGTATACATGGAGGTATATGGTACTTTTATTGTAGACCGCTTTAAACCAGATCCCGAGTGAAAAAATAAAATTCAAAAATATTAAACAAGAGCTCTTCTTTTTTGTTACATGTTCTGCTTTTTTACTCTTCAGTGCAATTTTCTCCACTTTCTCTTATGTCTCTCACTTTACTGCATAGTCAATATGCAGAAAACAAGGAATCAAATGAGATTTTAATATGAGACTAATCACAGCAGACAATGCTCATGCAGATATTCATCATCCCCCTATAAGCTCAGCACTCCATGTCTTACCTGGGTCCAGTATAGTGACCACAACCCACACCAAAGCTTGATAAATCCATACAGTTGTCCTCATGGTTAGGAACTTGGGAGCAAGTTAGAATCCGGATTAACTGAGCGAAAGACTCGGTAGTTGAATGTAGTCCACGGCGGCTGAGGACCAGCTGAAGTCTTGCTTTCCTCACCCAGATGACAGTTCTTTTTTCACCCAAGAAACCACACGTCCTCGGTTCAACCCCCTTTAACTTGAGTTTGTACTCCTCTCTATTAGCGACTGCTCACTGCTGTCAAGCCGTGTAAAATAAATAACACCACTTCCAGCTGGTATTTTCAAAATAAAATCCGATATGGCTCACATGCATAATGTTTTGTAGCATTCAATTATAAAATTCTAGTGTCTTGTTCAATTAGTTCACAAAAGAAAACCAACATTTAACAAATTTAGCTGATTCTACTCGCAAATAAAGTTTGATATATCTTATTTTTCTATCATAAACCTACAACTATCATCCAAGAATAGTGTGTATTACTATTAGAGTATTATTAAATAATCCACATCTACAACAGTTGTCTTTATTAAAAACTAAAGTCTCCATCTGTTTTAGGAAATTAATATACCTTTAAAGAACTGAAACAATATATTTGTGATTGAATTTTAAAGATTAATTTTTTTCTTTGGCATATCAGCTGTACACTGGGGTTTTGAGAAGTTAACTGTATTAAACTAACATGAAAATTAGTTTAACTCAAAATTCTCCCAGTAATAAAAAAACATTGCTTCTGAGTTTTATAGCAATTATGGAACAATTTTTTAATAAAGCATCCCTTATGAATGGTTCATAAAATGTAAATACAATAAATCAAAGGTGGATGAAGTACTCAAATCCTTTATTTCAGTAAAAGTAGTAATACCGTAGTGTAAATATACTCTGTTACAAGTAAAAGTCCTGCATTCAAAAAGTTACTTTAGTTAAAGTACAAAAGTATTAGCACCAAAACATAATTAAAGTACTAAAAACAAAAGTACTCAATATGCAGAATGGTGCATTCCACATTCTGTATATCATATTATTTTATTAGAATTACTGTTGTCTTATTGTGTACATCATCAAGGTAAAGGGAGAGCTAGTTTGAATTGTCTTATAGCCATTTAATTTGAATTACTGCTGGGTAGCTTGTGAATTTTCCACCATAGATCAGTGAGATCTTATAATTATAATTATATTTTTGTATTAATCTGGCTCTGAAAAGTAACTAGTAACTAAAGTTAGAAAATAAATGTAGTAGAGCAAAAAGTCCAACATTTACTTCTAAAATGTAGTGAAGTCAAAGTATGAAGTAACTGAAAATGAAAATACTTAAGTAAAGTACAGATATCTCACAATTGTACTTTTAAGGATAATCAGGATACTTAAATACAGTACTTGAGAAAATGTACTTAGTTACTTTCCACCATTGCAATAAATCATTACATAATGCATTAGAGATTAGCAGAAAATTAATTTTAGGTTGCAAGGCTCTGAAAAATTTCTGGTTGGAGTTTGTCCTCTTGTGTCTTTTAAGATTCTAAGTTCATCACATAGACCATGCCAATAGACTGTTTGACCTCTGACCCTCTGGTAATGGGCTGTGAGCTGATCCAGTCATATAATTTACAATTAAATACTTGATGGATTGTTGTAGAAACAGATGACTTATTGACTGCTGCTGCTGGCTTATTTGCAGGTGACAAACCCGTGACCCTTACTGTTAAATCTATTAACATTTCTAACTGCATGCTTGAGGGCTTCTAAGTAAGATGGTAGTGATCCCCCAGCTAGACAGAATTTCACAACCTGGCAACCCGGGAGTTGTTTTATTGAGTGAAGGCTTATAACTGAAGCACTGGTACATGATTTATCAGCCATCAACAAATCGATGGTTTGCAAGTTACAAACCCTTTTCAAAGGCATCTTCTGAGAAAGTGCCATCTCGCATGTTTTACCCCTTTTACAGCAGATGGTGATGCTAAAATCACATATAGCACAAAGAGTTAAGTGATGGGAAGCAGTGTTGGCCATAAAAATAACTGACGAATACTCAGCATTGGACTGATAGTTAACAGGATATTTTTGACATGATCCTCTGCCTCCCCTCACTCGCTTTACTTTGGCTGTACTGAAAAGGCAGATGGGATTCTTTATATGGTGCACCAAAAAGCACTTAGCGCAAGGAAGTGATTGCATCATCAGTGAATTTTCCAGTTGCTAAATGCCTAGTGCAGTACCAGAGTAATGCACAAACATACAAACAAACAGAAAATAGCCCAAAATGCCCTTATCCTTAAGAAAGGCAATGAAACTTGCTAAATCCTGAACTCTGGCCAGCTGAACCCACTGACCTGAAGAGGCCCGGGGTTTTGATAGTGCTCCCTTCAAATCCTAAGGTTTGCATGGAATGCTTTCTGTCTGTGTTATAACTTGTAAGCCACCACTATCTGTGGTATAAGAGACTGAACTGCACAAATTCAATTTAGTGATGCACTGCTATGCCACATCATGAGACTGCATTTCTTTTTCTTAGTAAACTAAGGCATGCAAGGTCAGCTGTTCTCATGACAGTCAAGTCATGACAAAGATCTAAATATCTGTCAGGGACTGAGGGAATATTTGTCCTGCTGTTTAAACAATTCCCACCAGAGAAAGAGGTATGAGGGGAAAATAGTGCTATGTCTATCCATGCTTTATTCCAGTGCCCCTTTTGAGACTGACCTGGTATTATATAAGACCACTACTGATAAGAGCAAACTACAGCACATAATAACTTACATCTTTAATATAGAAACATTACAGTTTGTTTAAAAGTACCATAAAGGTACAATAAGGTCACTAAAAAGACAACACCATGCACCTCAGACACAGTTTAAATCCCTATCTGGACATTATATCACATGAAGTGTTTGTGTGTTAAGGTGGGGAAGCTGGATGTGATCCTGGTCAGGTCGGTAGGTAGGACTTCTGTTGGACCATTACCATTAGTTGACAGAAAATCCACACTTCAGTCATTAAAGTGCTGCTGACTTAAAGCACTCCAGCGAGAGCAGGAGAAGGAAGACATGGTTTGAGGTAAATGCCAGACCCCTGGCCCTCCCTCATTAAGATGCATGCAGGTCATTTAATTTTTCTTTGGTCCCTTTTCTCCCCTTTGGTCTGTGTGTGTGCACAGGAAAGTACCAACAGGTGTGGAGGTGTGTGTGAGCGTGTGTGTGCTCTTGTAGCTGGAACCAGTGGCTCTAGTCACTAGCTACACACACCATACCCACAACGTCAGTCAGTGTCAGCACAAAGAAGAAATCCAGACTCCCAGAAAATCTGTCTTGGAGCAAATTTTTGTGGATTGGTACCTTTTGAGCTACAGCTGGCCCTGTTCCATGTGCTTCAGAAGCAGAAGTTAGGTCTGACAGCTGATTATGCATCAGGGGAGAAAATGTTGAACGTGGGAGCGCCTTTCATAACAGACCAAAGCAATGGGAGCATTACCTTCCATGATTTATTTTTGTCACTAAAAGCCATGGACCTATCATTGAGATATTTCAAAATATTAGTTGCACTGCAGCAATGTTATATGGAACATAGGACGTTTGGCAGCATTATAGTGCACAAGACTGATGAACAGTTTATTTAATTACTAGCTTAAAATTTATTTGCTGTAGCTGACATTAATTTTACAACTACCAGTAACAAGAGAAGCCACTTCTCAGAGAGTTACTTCTAATCAGATGGCAAAGTAATTCCAAGCTAATTTGTGATTGCCTGTAACAAATCCCAGCAGTTTTCTGTCATCACAAGACCCGTAATTGCATTCTTGCACACACTTTATCTACAGAAATGGCTTCAAAAGCACATTCTTTTCTCTGTTTTTTTTAAATAAAACTATATGTTATAAACAATGGCACTACGTTGCTACTGATTTTACCATGCTGTCTGACTTTAGAGCTACTAGTCTGAAACCATCAAAAAGCACACATTTGTGGCACTACACCCATTTCTGGATCAAACCCAAGATACTAAAATTAACCTGTTCCAATGGGCATTCTTTTTTTTTAGCCAGAGTGGAGGTTATTTCAAGCTGATCTATTATCCAAAGTTTAAGACCAGTTGTTACCTGTGTTTGGCAAGTAGCTTGGGGAAGTTATGCAGTGATATCTTTGGCTGACTGGCGTTCTTGGACTTGCTTTTCCTTTTGCTGTATGGTAGCAAACAAATGCTCATTTTGCTATAACAGAAAAATGAATAGATATTTAAAAAACTGCATATTTTGTTGGTGGGGGCTGGTGGAGAGACAACCTGCTACATACTCTCCGAAACAGAAGTCTAGGCTTGGTACATTTTCCAACAAACAAAAACCTGTGATCTCAGAATAATTTAAAATCTAATAAAATTGTGTAAAATAATCTACACAGAGTAACTTTGAATGCTTCTTTTTCTGTAATATTAATTTCTATCAGTAGCTTTTTCCTCTTGCCCCCACCTCTCTTTTTTTTTTAAATCTTTTGCTTTCTCTTTCTCTTCATGCCAATATAAACATAAATAATATTTCTAGGCCTGTTTAGCCATGTTAAGAAGTGTGGAGGGGGAAAGCAAAGAGGAGGAGGAGGGAGACCCAAGAGATGGGCAGAGTTCATCATCAGGGAGAATAGGGAGGAAGACAGGTTTCTGAAGCCATCAGCTCCCATGGCCAGAACCTGTCAGCACTCAGAAAATGCAGACTCAACTGACCAATTTATTGACTTGCTTCTTACAGCGCTATGCATAATGTGTGATGCTAAGGTACACTGGTTTTTAAACTCAGTTGATGCGTTTATCCAGCTGACAGCTTCAGGTCTTTGATTACTGACATTATGAGCTGTTGGCAGAACATAGTTCAAAGTGTCAAACAACAAACACATTAAATTGCACTGTATACATACAGTGTCCACGCCTTGACCTGGGGCATTATCATTAAAAGCACTCACCATCCTACATGAAGGATTTTGAACCCTTTCTCTCTAATTACTTTACACCCCCACTGCCCAGCAATCACTCCTTCTGTCCCCACTCCACTCCATTCCTGCACATGAAGGAGCCTAATCACTGGTGTGATCACCCCCTTTTCGCCTCTGACCTCCCCAACACTAGAATAACAACATCCATACCAGCCCCCCAACCCCTCAACAGCCGCCTTGCCCCCACCCCCCTCCAATTA